GCCAGCACCGAGGAGAGGGCACGGGCTGGCCCAGGGCAGCTACGCAGAAGTCGCTGGGGGCGTGTGACGGAAGCCAGCACGGTCTGATCAGCGGGGCTGCCAGGGCGCGAGAACCTGAGCAGAGGGCGTGCGTCCACGCCATGATGTCTAGGCCTGCCTATATTCAGTTTTTTAAATTAATTGTATTGATACTTTTATTTATTTATTTTTATGGGGGTGGAACTGGGGATTGAACTCAAGCCCTTGCACTTGCCATGCAAGCACTTACTCTACTGAACTATCTCCCCAGCCCCTAATGAAACAGTACCTTTTAGATATACATAATGATCACATTCATCATAGCGCATTTATTCCTGTACATGATCTAAGTTTTTTTTCATTCTACTGCCCTCCCATCAACCCTTCCTTTTCAATTTGTTCTATATTTGCAGTTTTTATATCAACGTAGGAAAGCCAGATGAATATGTACTTATTTTTACTGTTCTTCATTCATCTATTTTCATCAGAATACAACTTAGTACAGTTTCTAAGGAGATTGGGCTGAACTTCTTAGACAAAAAGAAGGTGTGGGGATGATGTCCCTTTGGGAATGTGACTGCTTTCTTGCATGGTGATTTGCTTCCACTTCCCAGGCTTTGAGAATGATAGGCAGTCAGAAGTTCTGCATGCCGAAAGCAGAAGATGCTTGGGAATTTTTCCATCACGAACTTTAAGTTGAAGGAATTTATGATTGGCTGGATTACAGTATAGACAGTGGATGTCTTTAAAGTAAGTAGAGCTTGCAGTACAAAAGATTGGAAGCTTCTACGTGAAAATGTGTTTAAGGGAAAAACATTGTCTCATTATTGCTTATTTTGCTATAGGAAAACACCACCAAGCCAGTGAGCCACAGAATGTGATTGCGTCAGACAAAGCAGCAGCAATATCAGTTGTCCATGAGCACGAGCACAGCCATGACCACACACAGCTGCATGCCTACATCGGTGTGTCCCTGGTACTGGGCTTTGTTTTCATGTTGCTGGTGGACCAGATCGGCAGTTCCCACATGCATTCTACTGACGGTGAGTGGTTTCGAGGCCTTCTGGGCAGTGCAAGAAATTCGCAGCGTGGAAATGTACAAGCAGTTGAATAATTCAGACCATCAATATCCTTATTTAAATGTCAAAACTCTTATTCTTCTCAAGTGCTCAGGAACATTCTATCCAGTTGGTGGAGCTAGCTAGTGAGCTGTGGTGTGACACAAGGAAGTGTGTATTGATTTATTACTCTATTGGTCTTAAAGCTGTCACATTTGGTTGAGGGTTCTTAACCTGTTTTATGCACTGTGGCCATTAGGCAGTCTGAAGTCTGTGGACTTTTTATTAGGATTTTTTTAATATTGTTTTTAAATTCATAAAACATATATAGGATGACAGAGAAAACCAGTTGTGTTAAAATAGTTACCATAGAGTTAGAACAAATTTGTAGTGTAATATTGGATATATCTTTTTTTATCAGTACATTAAATAAGGAGATAATACATTTAAATCCTAAGAACATCAGAGTTAAATTTTGTATTTTAAGAAATCAGTATGATGGCTGTCAGTACTTAGTTTAGGAAAATAACATTACAGGGTGATCTTGCACACAGCAACGTGTGTGTGTGTCAGGTTGAGCATCCATTTGATTTAGGATCTTGCTTTATGATTCCTACTACAGGAAATCCTGGTTCCTAGAAGTATTTTCTTTTCAAAAAAATATTTTTTTTTAATCTTCATTTTTTGGGTACTGGATCTTGCTATGCAGCTTGGACTCATAGTGATCCTCCTGTCTCAGCCTCCCCAGTGCTGGGATTACGGGCCTGCACCACCATGCCTGGTTTCTGTGGCTGGCATGCATGCAGTACTGGGGATCAAACCTGAGTCCTTGGCCTTGCCAGGCAGATGCTTAGACCACCAAGCTATCTCCCCAAACCCAGAGGTATTTTCATACCAGTGCACTTCACATTCTTTCCAAAGCAAAATAAGCTGCTCACAAGGACAAGTAGAATTTCCCACAACTTTTCAAATCCGATTCTACTCAATAACTTTTTTTGTGTTAAGATTTATGAATTCATCTTTGGTTAAGTCAGCATCTTCGATGTAGCCTACACTAAATAAAAATATTCTGGGCCAGAGAGATAGCTTGGCAGTCTAAGCATTTGCCTAACAAGCACAAGGCCCCAGGTTCAATACCCAGTACCACATGCTATGCTGGCCTCTGCTCCAACCTGGTCACTGAAACTGGGCATGGTGGCACAGGCCTGTAATCCCAGCGCTGGGGAGGCTGAGACATGAGGATCACTATGAGTTCAAGCTGTATAGCGAGACCCTGTAGCAAAAAAAAAGATTAAAATAAATTTAACAGTTACAGAACTTTCTAGGAATTTATAGATACACTTTTTTTTTTTTTTTTGGGGGGGGGGGCAGGCTAGGAAGACACTTAAAACAGGATTTTGCTATGTAGTCCAGGCTGGCCTTACATTTGCATTGATCCTTCTGCCTCAGCCTCCCAAGTGCTGGTATAAATATCTCTTTATGTATATAGACAAAGAATTGTGCAGACAGTAAATACTGCAAGGCAACGTGGATAGCTGGGTCTCTGGTGGGAGATTCTGTCTTCCACTTTGCTGGCAGAATGACTGTGAGGTAAGAGCTACTGGGCAGTGGCCCAGCTGTCAGCGGAGCGTCTGCAGGCAGGAAATGCTGATCATGCAGTGGGCGGCAAGTCTGGGAGTCCTTAACTCAAGATAGTGACAAATGAAAATAATAACTTTGCGATATCCTCAACTGTAAGAGTATCAGATTATCTGATTTTTGGCAATAAGGTGTTCTAATATCACTTTTGGCTTATTGTCTTCATAGTTCAGGAAAATGCTGAATTTCTCTTTGGACTCAGTAAAGATAGCTTAGAAAAACAGCTGAGAACTTCACTGGCGTCTCTTGAATTCTGCTTATGTTATCTTTGGACCTAGGTTAAGAATAACTGATCTAAAAAGAAATCTGGAAAAGCAGGCAAAAGATAGGAAGAGATTATTTAACTGTAAGATATAAAAACAGTCCTTAGCATATGTATGTTCACTTAAAATAAAAGGCATGCATATCAAAATTACACTGGTATTTTACAAAATTACACTGACCTGTACTAAATACATTTAAAAAATAAAAAATTACTCCTTGCATAAGGACAATGTTTGCAAGATCTCAAGACCAAAAAAAAAAAAAAAAAAAATTACACTGAGACCCCACTTCACACTCCTCGGGCAGAAATCCAGAGATTTGGCTGTGCCTTCAGGTGGTACAGCTGTGGTGAGGTACTGACGCGTGGTGGCAGTGCAAGGTGACATAGCACCTGTGGAGAGGGACGTGGCACGTGCATTCTTATTCTTGAACCCCAAAGTCGCATTTCTAGTTTACTCTGATGTTACAGCTCCAGTAGGAAAATACATACGCACAAGATTACTCAGGGCTGCGTTATTTATCATTGTAAAATATCAGAAACTACTTAAATGTCCAGTCACAGCTATCAGTTGAACGAGCTGTGGTGTGTACAGTGGAGTACTACATAGCTGTGAAAAATAAAAATATGGCTTCAGCTGTCTCCAACTGATAGAGAGAGATTTCCAGGGAGTTTTTTTTAAATGACAAGAGATTTTTTAAAAGATAAAAATATAGTGGTATTGTTTTTGTATTAGAAAGAAGGACAGATAACAAAACACAGGAAGGATCATTTGGAAAACAAAGATATCCATTATCTTAGCAGAGTGGAACGAAGGGTATGAGAGAACAGGAGAGTGGTAGGAGGCCCGAGCATGCTTTTGTCATATTTTTGGCTTTTGGAAACTAATATTCTACAGGTTCAAAACTAGAATGGAAACAGCAAGATACTAGAATGGAAACAGCAAGATATGGAGCTAAGGGGCTGGGGAGATGGCTCAGTAGAGTAAGTGCTTGCCTGGCAAGTGCAAGGGCCTGAGTTCAATCCCCGGTTCTGCAAAGAAAGAAAAGAAAAGAAAAGAAAAGAAAAGAAAAGAAAAGAAAAGAAAAGAAAAGAAAAGAAAAGATGTGGAGCTAGCTGACAGGAGATGAGGAGTATTTCAGTAAACAACACAATTGCATATTTTTTTTGGAAAACAAATTTAGGTAACTTATGAATGTCATATTTGACTATAAGCCTGTAGCCTTGAGTTGGGAGAGAACCATAAGCAAATTCAGAACTCTTCACAGGTTTTGCTTTTTGTGATGGCATTGCCAAGCTAATTCTAAAACTATTGTAGATGTTTCATAGGATTGCACGAAGAGTGAACTGTTAGTGTTGGTGGCCTGGAGCACGTGTGGAAGCAGGTGTGCACGGGTGTGGGCTTGAGGAAGTCAGGAAGGAGCGCCTGGTGGAAGGCCTGGAATTAGGGGCTTGAGGCTCATGAGTTCTCAGTGGGCCGTATATATCGCGCAGCTGTGTCTCTAGCCAGGGTCCAGAAGTAAGACGTCCAATAACGTGAGCATACTGTGCCCCTTAGAGCAGTGGCTGACTCCAGCATGGGTCACGGTAGGTGGGTGAGCTGCAGTCATTTGTGGTCATTTAAGAAAAGGGGCAGGGAGATAGGACCACATCACAGGACAGGCATCAGTTTAAAGGGGCTTATGCTGGCCAAACATGGGACAATATGAGCATCAAAATAAAGAACATTGAAAAAATAGGAATCCACGAGCTCTTCCACATGGTAGATGGTTAAAGAGATGATGGAAGGAGGTGAAAAGAGGGCCCAGGCTCCCAGTAGGATGCTGGATGCCTGCTGGTTTGTGTGATGTGCTGGGGTGGGAACATCAGCATTCTGTGCAACACTTGAGCAAAGGCTGGCCAACACAAGATTAATCAGTTGCAAGGGAAAATATATATAAATGATCAACAAGACTTACCAGACAATCAGATTTATGTTCCTAGTTGCTACTTTTGAGTAGCTATGTAAATCCTGGACAAAATTTTAAAAACTACCATGTAAGGACACTGGAGTGTAACCTAGAGAAGGTAAATGCTAGAGGAGAGTCTGTGCTCTGAACAGAGCAGTTTCTTCACTTCACTGCAGTTAGCAGGTACTCTATGAAGCACCTAGTTGTTTTTGAACTAAAATTAATCTTTCGTTTTTGTTTTGTTGTTGTTTCTTTCTTTCTTTTTTTTTTTTTTTTGAGACAGGGCTTGCTGTATAGTTCAGGCTAGCCTTGAACTCACTGTGTAACCCAGGCTGGCCTCAAACGCATGACAATCCTCCTGCCTGGGCCTCCTAAGTGCTGGAATTATGGGTATGCACCACCACACCTAGCTTTGTGTGTGTGTGTGTGTGTGTGTGTGTGTGTGTGTGTGTGTGTGTTTAGTGCAGAGTCTACAGGGTCTCACTACACAGATCATAGTGATCCTACTGTTTTCAGCCTCCCAAGCGCTGGGATTATAGGCATGTGCCACCATGCCCAGTATCTACCTGGCTTTTTTGAAAAATCCTTTCTTCAGGAATGTGATCTTAAAATTAGATTTTAAACAACTTCTAGATTTGGGGTTGGCTAACTAAAAGATTTAGTACGTGTCAGGAATTAGGGATGAGGAGGATTAGTGGAAGAGGATGAGAGAGTTTCGTTATTCTGGTTTAGATGGTGAGAAATCCTATGGCACCACTGACGATGGTGAGAGCCTGCCCTGCAGAACAGTTCAGACAGGTCAAAAAGGAACAGAATTTTAACTAGTGAATGGGAGTTGTTTTCAGAAGGTAGGAAATGAGACCAGGGTATAGATGCCTGCCTGGCAAGTGCTAAGTCCAAAATTCAATCCTGAATACCAAAAACAAAATAAACAAAAAGTCACAGATAAAAGATGGGAGATAAGAGGGGAAAGCCAGCAGGAACCTATTGCCCATTTCGGTTTGGATTAGGATGGCAGCTGTGATGGTTGTGGGCATGAAGGCCGAGCCTAGGAGACTGGAAAGGGGGAAGGGCAAACTAGGACACTTAGGAGGTGTGATAGAGATACATGGTGATTGTTTAAACTTGAAAAATGTATTGCAGTAAAAGACACATTGCAATTAATCCCCCTCAAAATATTCTCCCTAGTTCTGGATACGCTTAAGCACATCTATCTTGCCAGTTTCTGAAGCAGCTCTACAAGTCCCCTTTCGTGAGCATCTTTATGAAGCGAATGCTGCTGCCAGGTGCCACTGGTGGAGAGGCAGCCTTGTACTGAGTTAGCAGTGTGTCCCCATTCCCCTGATTCACCAGGTCTGGCATTGCTTGACTTTAAAGGGACTCTTCCCAAAGCCAGAATGACCACGAAAGGGAAACATTTTGAATCAATTCAGGACAGCACAACTGAAGATATTAATGAAATAGGACTTACTGGGCTAGGGAGATAGCTCAGCCAATAACGCACCAGCTTAGGCAAGCGCGGGGACCAGGGTTCAATCCCCAGTCCCTTTTTTTTTGCAGCGTCAGCCTCGCCTCTGGGGTGCCCTGAGCCTGACAGAATCTGGATGTGGTGGCGCATGCCTATAATCCCAGCACTGGGGAGGATTACTATGAGTCCTATCTGCATAGCAAGACCCTATACCAAATACGCAAATGAAAAAAACCAATAATAATAAAAAAAAGAAAAAGGGGGGCTGGGGAGATGGCTCAGTGGAATAAGTGCTTGCTCACCTGGCAAGCACAAGGGTGAGTTCAATCCCCTGTTCTGCCAAAAGAAAAAAAAAAAAAAAAGAAAGAAAGAAAAGAAAAAGAAAAAGAAAAAGGACTGTCTGCTTCTAAAGGGAGCCAGAGTGATGGGTGAGTGTGGTCAAAGTTGAGGGGCGAGTATTATGCAGATTAGGGCCAGTGTGTCTTTTACTGTAATTTAGAAAAACAATTTAAGTATTCGTAGTCGTTTTTAATCACACCTCAAGTGAGTCAGGGAAGAAGCAGTGAGAGACTCTAGAGCACCTTCCACAGGATTTGGAGAGTTAAGGAAGTAAGCGAGTTGGAGCTCACACCTTTCAAGGGTTTGTTGATCAAGAGAAGCCTCAACAGAGGAAACTCCCAGACCCTGGGGAGATAGCTCAGTGGCATAAGCACCTGCCTGGCAAGCACAAGGTCCTGAAGTTGATCCCCAGTACCAAAAAAAAAAAAAAAGAGGAAACTCCCTTCTGCTCACTCTTCTGGATAAAGGAAACTCCTTAGTGAAGCAGGAGGAAAGAAAAAACAAAAAACGGTAGTGAGTGGAAATAATGTACTTTAAGAGATTTCAAAAACTTCATCTAGCCAGAGGTGGTGGCGCACGCCTATAATCCCAGCACTTGGGAGGCTGAGACAGGAGGATCTCCATGAGTTTGAGGCCAGCCTGAACTACAGATTGAGACCCTGTCTTAAAAAACAACAGCAAAAAATTCTACAACTTCATCTTGTATAAGTTTCCATCTCACATACAGTTTCTCCTGCTCCCTGCAGATCCAGAAACAGCGAGGCCTAGCAGCTCCAAAATCACCACCACGCTGGGGCTGGTTGTCCATGCTGCAGGTAGGGGGGACCTTCCTTCCTGCACGTGGAAAGCTGTGTGGTTGCTGAGACCTTCTGTTCAGAATGGTTTGGGCTGGCCTGTGGGGAAGGGCCTTGGTACTCGTGCCTGGTTTGCAAGCACGAGTGTAGTGAAGTCGGGTTAGGGCACAGCCATGCCCAAGTGTTTCCATGTTACCTGTGGCTGCTGTCGCAGAGCCAAGCGGCCCACAAAGCCTAAAGCATTTCTTGGGCCTGGCTGTGTAGTGGTCTACTGCCTTCTGCCCTAGGACTCATCAGGAGGAGGAGCCTGCACTTGGTGCAGAACACCTCTGTGCTGCACGTGCTCATGCCAAGTCTCAGTGAGTCGAGGGAGGTGCAGTGCAGAGGCTTGCAGGGCCACACCCCACACCTGCCGACCACGGAGGCTGCGGAAGGTGGCCGGCAGTAGCCAGGCGTTTCTGGTGTGCCGTGCCTTCCTAATGAAACCCCCTCACTCAGCAGTATGCAGTTGGAGGGTGAAGCAGAAGGCTCAAGACCTCGTGTGTGTACCTGTAAGATGAGGGGATGCTGCCTTTGAAATTCTTTGGCATTGCTTTTACTACAGTTTGAGTCTCTCATTGGTGTGGTTTTTTTTGGTTTTTGGGGGTTTTTTTTTTGCATACCAAGGATCAAACTTGGAACCTTTCGCTTGCCAGCCAGGCGCTTATGCCCCTGGCCTTCATCAGTGAATTTTTGAGCTTCCTACTTTTTCTATCAATAACAGAAATAAATAACATGCTGAATACACTGGGCCAGGCACTAAGCCATTGACATAATATCTCATCAAATCCTCATCAAAACACTCAGAAATCTACCTAATTGAACCCATTTTACAGGTCCACATCTGAAGTTCAGGAAAGCTAAGTAACCTCAGAATGAGATCCAGCTCTGTCAGCCTCTAAGGCACCCTACCCCCACAGCCTCTATGTTGCTGCTGTTGTTTAAGCATTTTTTATGTTCTGTTTTTTCTGAATTCAGCTGATGGCGTTGCCTTGGGAGCTGCAGCCTCTACTTCCCAGACCAGTGTCCAGCTAATTGTGTTTGTGGCCATCATGCTGCATAAGGTAAGCCAAGGCTCGTGGTGACTGTTCATGGTTCACATTTCTCTTGGTCTTTTTTTTTTCTTTCTTTCTTTCTTTCTTTTCTTTCTTTCTTTCTTTCTTTCTTTCTTTCTTTCTTTCTTTCTTTCTTTCTTTCTTTCTTTCTTTCATTTTG